TTGGAAGGCTGAGGTGGAAGGATTGCCAGAGCCCACCAGGACAAGGCTGGGGTGGTCGTGAGTGTTTCACTATACTCCAGCCTGGGTGATAGAGTGAGACTCTGACTCCAAAAAAAAAAAAAACCCGGTTAAAACTAGATTGGATTTCTGTTTCTGCCCTCTATTTCATTTGCATGATAGTGTCACCAAACTGTGCTTTCGGTAAAATCTCCAAAAAGCCTCTCCTCCAAAATGGCCTTTTATCCAGCACTGGGTATACTTTAGAGACATCTCTCAAGTGGGTAGATGGAATCACAGTCTAGCTAATACTCATCTCAAGAAGCTCCTCATACACACTGACTTGGTATTCACACTTAAAGATAATTTGTTACAAGCATAAATTATGTAAACTGCATGATTTTATTTAAACATTTACTTATCATATGGACATATAGTTCTTTTTTTTCCAACTAAGCCATAAAATCTCCAAAACAGACCCAAGTCTAAAGTTTGTGCCCTAATACTGCCCCAGTGCCCTGCACACAGTTGGTGTCCCATGTGGTCCTTTGTCTCAGGGGCTGATGATACCCTGTAACAACATAAACGTGGGATTTACATTCCAGTTCCACCAATTACTTAGCTGTGTGGCTTTAGGAAGGTGGCTCAAACTGGGTGCCTCAGTTTACTCAACCCTAAAACAGGGCTAGCAATACTTGCCCTTGGTGTTTAGCAAAAAAAAAAGTTAATGTTGGTGACACGCTGAACATGGCATGTGGCATACAGAGACCTGAGGCAGCTATTGTCTGTATATACTGAGTCAAGTCTTTTTCTTCCCATGTATTTGCATCTTGATTGATATTCACCCTCTTAATCAGCTTCCTCATCTGTGAAATCCTACGCCAAAAAGATCGCTGAGAGGATAAAAGGAAAAAAATGAAAACCCATAGCACGCAGCAAAGGCTCAAGAAAGAAAGAAACGTTCCCTTCTCTTCCATCTCTACGGCTAAGGCGATTTCCTTAGCGTCACCTTCCAGCCCCTGTGCACCCGCCGAAAGGCCATCAATATCGCCGAGCAGCTTCCAGACTCATCTGTGGACAGACAAGTGATGTCTCCAACAACACCGACCAGAACTCCCCGTCAGGAGCCATCTTTTCCCGTCGAGGAAATGAAAAGGTGCCCCAGATGTAATGAGGAAAATACCCCTCCTGTCAGTCATCGGCCCCCTCTCCCCCACGTCGCCCGGGTCCCAGCACAAAGACCGCATTCGACCCCGGCGAAGACCTCCCCTTCCCACCCACCCGTCTGGCTAGAAGGGAGATGGCCTGGCACCGACACTGGGGGTGGTCTGGGTGGTCGTGGGGTCACGGCCCGAGTCCGGGGGTGGTGGGTGCGGGCGGGACAGGAAGCCAGGCCCTGGATGGCGTCGTTCGAAGAAGGGGTCGAGCCTCACCTTCGCCCGCTTGCGCCGGCTGGTCCGACGCCCCTCCGGGGTCTCCGCTATTCCAGTCTCC